TCTTTCTCGCACTTTTTATAATTTTCAATTCTATTATCACTTCCACTTCTTTATTTTCATTACCGTTTCCACTTTCACTTTTTCTAATTCTCATTCGCACTTCCATTCTTACTTCCACTCTTTCTAATTCTCATTTCCACTTTCACTTTCACTTTCACTTTTTTATTTTCATTACCACTTCCACTTTTTCTAATTTTTATTCCCACTTCCCTTTTTCTAATTTTCATTCCCACTTCTACTCCCATTTTTCCCACTTCTAATTCTCATTAGCTGTTGCCATTTTGACTAAAACTATTTCTAATTTCCATTTACGCAACCATTTCCACTTTTTTTAATTACCATAGATGGAAATTAGAAAGAGTGACAGTGATAATGAAAATTTAAAAAATTAGGAATGGAAGTGGGAGTGAAAATATAAAAAAGTTGTAATGAAAATAAAAAAGTGGAAGATGAAATGGGAATGAAAATTGGAACAAGTGGAAGTGAAAGTGTGAATAAGAATTAGAAAAAGTGGTAGTGACAATGAATATAAAAAACTGGAAGTGGAAATAGGAATGGGAATGAAAATTAGAAAAAGTGGAAGTGGAAATGGGAATGAAAATTATAAAAAGTTTAAGTGGAAGTGAAAGTGGTAATGGGAAAGTAGTGGCAAAGTTTCTGTGAAAATATATTTTAAAAACTCTTAATTTTTTTATAGGTACTAACGTTAGTAACATTAGTAATGTTAGTAACATAAGTAACGTTAGTAACGTTAATTTTTTCACCTGGGATTGTAGTATAGTTTGCAGTTTGATGAAAAAATTTTAAATAATCAAGAAACTTCTGTGAAGAGTTCAATAAATCAAAATCTGATTTCACCGGGTAAATGACATCTATTCCAAATGCTAAATATTTTTTTTTAAAAAAAAATTGCAGATTCTGTAAAGTTATGGATTCCTTAATAGATTTGGATATAATTTTCTGTTTCTAAGTTTTTGATAAATTGTTATTATTATTATGGCGTAACGAAGGAAAAGCATAAAATTCAAAAAGATGAAGTCTGCATTATAACTGTAAATCAAAATACCTCATCGTGCGGTTGAATGTTGCGCGAAGCGAAGTATATTTATTAAACGTTTAGCTCCTAAATCCTCAGCACAGCTGGGTTCAAAATGTTTGTACATATTGCAAAGCAAAGTGTCGTGGGAGAGAGAGATGGAACTAAGGTCCTCTGGGAGAGGATTAGGTCGGACATATTGAGAGCTTTTGCCCAAAGCACCCTCTCTCTCACTCTCTACGTTGTACCTTTGTCGGTGCGTTCGATGCAAAGGTAATTCACTGGTTGCAGAGGCATACCTGTATATATATATATATATATATATATACATGGAAGCGCTTCGATACCTACTTAATTACATTGTGTCGCTTGAACCACTTTTCCAGCAATTGAATTTTTTTTTAGTTTATTTTTTCAGTATACCCTCGTGATAGAGAAATCGTAATTTTACAAAGAGTAATAAAATATATCCAAAAGGATTTTAGATGAAAATAATTGTTTCTTCATTTTAGAAGACGTTTCTGAAAATTGATTGCAATTTATAAAACATAAATTACACACAGAATAGTTGTTCAAAAGTTTAGCAAATTGCCATATTGCAGTACAAAAGCTTCCTTTATGAGGAAACAAATGAGCGCGTATTAATTTCCAAGGGTTGCCAAGAAATTGGGAAGGAAAATTTTGAAGAGGCGAGAGAGAGTTTGTAACCCAGAATATTAGGAATCTCAAGAAATGAATTGTTTGCGAAGTTGTATAGAGGATGAAGGAGGGTCGACTACACTGGGGCAACGTTATTACAACTTAATGCTCAGAATTATTTCCACAAGTCCTCCACACTATATTTATATGTCTACTTGAAGGAGAATGGGTTTGAAATTCCTGCGATACTAGTTCATCTACTTTCTCTCTCTCTCTCTCTCTTATATTCTTCCCTTCTTGCGATTCTTCAAGTACTCTCACACGACCCTTACAGCATAATAGTTCCATTATTCATAAACACTTTATAATCTTTTTAGTTTTGATGAATTATTGCCGCATTCATACAATTGAAATGGTGCAAAAGAATTGCAATGTTGAATGTTTTTTTTTTTTTTTTTTTTCGGGTAATGTCTGGACAGGAGACACTCACTGTATATACACACAGAGTGAAAATAAGAGAGATGAGTTAGTTCAAGTGGCGTTGAAATGTTTCAAATCTCGACGAAGCGAGAGAAAAATAATTGGAGGAAGTTTGTCGTTATACGGGAGGAAAAATGTGAAGCGCCGCTTCGTCGACAGTCGACCTCCTTCCTTCCCCAAGGTGAATTGCGAGTTTCTCGTTACGGAGATACTTCGATGGAGTTCCGCCTTTGAATCACTGTCGAATGCAACCTTCTGGGGAAAATTGTGTGGGGATATATATATATATATAAATGTAACTGTACGAGGATGTCGATGCAATAATAATTAGTTGACCTCGTTATTCTGTTATGCCACACGCTTCTTGCGCGACCTTTATATATATATATATATGGTTTACCACAACTGTCTGCAATCACGTGTCATACATCAACTTTTTTCTCAATTTTTATACCTGGAACTTTGTTTTATTAGTCAGTTCTCTATTCAAAATATTTTCTCTACTTTTTTTTATGTTAATTTTTCCCAAAAAAAAATATCCTCGCTTTTTCGAAAATAAATAAAATAATAAATATGATAACGAATGAGAGAAATTAATAAAATATTTTTAAGATAATAGCAACGGTTGCTATGCATTTTTTTTCCTTAGCGACGATTGCTAAGGTTATTTTTTCTTAGTAACGGTTGCTAAGGATTTTTTTTTCCTTAGCAACGGTTGCTAAGAATTTTTTTCCTTAGTAACGAATCCATGCAGAAATTTTGACTAGGCCCAGATCGGGGCCAAATTAGACTGCCCTATTTGGGAATGAAACGCCGCGCCTGATGTGGCCCTGATTAGGAAATCTACATTTGGTCCTGATCAGATGTGGCGTTTCATTCCCTACTAGGGCCCTGATAGGGCAATTTCTACACGGGAAGCCCTGACTTACTGAATTCTACCCTTAAGTAGAACAATCCATTCTTTAGTCAGACAAATTTTCGTCTTTTGTTTACTTGACTATTATCAAACAAAAATACTTGAACCAAATAATTAAATTAAAAAAAAAAAAAAAAAACAGTATTTGAACCAATTCTTTGAAACAAAAAACAAATTTAATTCACCAAAATCCCGTTAATTTCTTAAATAGAAAATTATTCCTATCGCCTACTAAGGCGATATATGTTCCTATAATTTTAGCCCCATATTTTTTATAGCAAAAATTTTATCCTACTTTAACGCTAAATTATAATTTAATACGTTGGCTCGTGTATTTATGCATTTATACATGAAGCTTACGGCGAACAAACTTGAGGAACATTTATTATGTTTATATCCCAAACTTATGTTTATGTAGAAAATGTAATAGAGCACAACTTTGATCGATTACACTTTTCAAAGAAAAATGAAAAACAAAAAAAAAAAAAATGAATAAAAATTGAAAACAAGAATAAGAAAAGAAAGTAGAAAAATAAAAGTAAAAGTTCATAAAGAAAATAGAAATTCTAAATACGTTTCTCCTTATATTCGCTGCAAAATTTTTCCAATTACTCGAATTTTTTCAATTATTCCCATTAGCTGAGATTATAGAAAATCTTTTTCATTTTTTCCCATTCATTTCTGATAACATACAGGCATTATTATTGCAATTTTCATAATCCAAAAATAATGATTATTCATTTGGGAAGATTTTTCTGATTGAAATGGGAATTTTTTTTTTCTTTTTTTTTTATTCAAGAGTTAATTTGACCTAGGTTGTATAAGGGCACGTGTTTCTGAAGAGGAGTATTGCAGCAGGGGTATCGACCAACTTCTCCAGATCTCTCCATTATAGGGCGGATTAGCTAGTTATGAAACTCGCAGTGATGAAACGTGTTTCGAAAGTTTTGGTCGAATGAGCTTAAGACGAGGGATGTATCCCTGAAGGTGTATAGAATGAAAGATAACATTTTATTATATACGCAGACACATCTACATGATATTAAATATTATCTAATAAAACTTGATTTACAATTGCGTCTCTCGAATAATAAATAATATCGAAGAAGTTGATATTATAAGGAATATTTGAATTAAAGGCCTACAATCAAAATCTTATTAAATATCTGAAAGTGAGTTTTAGTTCAAAGTGGAATTTAATTACTTTTGCGCCTTCTTCCCTTTACCTTCCGTTTCTCTTCTTCTTCTTCTTCTTCTTCTTCTTCTTCTTCTTCTTCTTTTATACACTTTATTTCATGCTGAATCACGTAATATTATTTCGCGTCGTCATTAAGATGGAAAATTCAGTCATCAAATTTTTAGAAGCGACACTTTCTTTGCATTTAGTCTTGCATTTTTAAAATTATCTTTTTCTATTATAACCTTTTTATAAAATACGCGCGTATCGGGGACGGAATTATTAATAAAAAAAAAAAAAAAAAAAATGTAAAATGTGACATAGAAAAGATTTTTCTAGAAGAAAACGAAATTCGGGTGAATGAGACATTTTCCTGTTGAGTTCTCCAGAGAGATTCTATATAGTGTGCTTCAAGTCCGGGGGTGCTTTTTTACGGTGCTTGAATAAAAATATTTATGTAAATATCTCTCTCGTCCGGCGGAAATTATTGTTCCTTTTAGCGCATGCAACTGCGCCTAGCACTCACCCAACCTAACTCTATATTTACAGAACTAACAAATATTCAAAAGAAGCAATTATATATATTTCATTTCAATTTTTCTTCACTGATCGCTTTATTTCGCTTTTTGTAAATTGGTTTTACTATTTTATTTCTATTAAGTATTCGAGTCTTTTTCTTTTAGAAAGTAAAAAAAAAATGGAATATATTTTTTTTTTTTTTGGTTTTGGAAATGGAAGAATGTGAGATTTACCTTTACTTGTTCCGTCAGGTCCACGAAGGATGGTGCACTCCTCTATAGTACCAAAGGCAGAAAACAACTGTCGGACATCGTCTTCTGTTTGTTGTTTGCTGAGCATACCCACGAACAGCTTTCTGTCTGCATAGTCGAACAGCCATGTTGAAAGAACAAAGAAAAATGTACTGTTAGCAAAATTCATATGAAATGGAAATTTGAAGCCAGTTCAAGAAAAATAGTCTGGCGACTAACATCAAAAACGACAAAGTTACACGGTTACACCACAGCATCCACCATCCTAAGGGTAAAGGAGGGAGGGTAAATAACACATGAGCGTGTGGATATATATATATATAATAAATATATATTTATAGATATATAGGTACGCATCATTTGTGACGCGTACAGCACTCTCCAATATAAACTATACGGCCAAATGTACATCTAACATCACGGGGCTGTGTGTGTTGTAAAGACAATAATTATAATAATTAAAAAAAAACTAATAATAAAACTAATAAAAATTATATTTATTATACTAATAATAAAATAATAAATTAGTAAATAATAATGAAAATAATAATAACAATAATAATACCCGTGTAGAAATTACCAGGGCCTTAGTAGGGAATGAAACACCACACCTGATCAGGGCGAAAATGTATTTCCTAATCAGGGCCACATTAGGCGCGGTGTTTCATTCCCTAATAGGGCAGTCTGATCCGGCCCCGATCTGGGCCTTGGCAAAATTTCTACACTGGTAAGAATATATAAATAATTTAATGATAAGACTAATAAGAATATAAATAAATTTAATGATAAGACTAATAAGAATATAAATAAGTTTAATGATAATAAGACTAATAAAAATAATGAACAATAATAATAGTAATAATAATAATAATAATAATAATAATAATAGCAATAATGGAAAATATCACAATTACAATAATAAATAACCAATCAATCTGTACGTAAAAACCTACACCATAAGCTGAAGAAACAAGTGGAACGGAATCGCGAAGAATACGGAACGAAAAGCGACTCACACAAACTTCTTCTGGAAATTTTTTTTTTTTTTTTTAAGATTAAAAAATCGAATATATTTAACAATTTTTTTTTATCCAGAAGAAATTTGCGCCATGAGATCACATTTCTTAGGGTCACTGTTTTGCTTAAATCATATTATATTTATATTGCTTTAATGCTTATTTCTTACAGCATTGCAGCTATTTCTAACATATCAAAATTTTGTTTTTTTCTGAATTTTTCAAATTAAATTTGGATTTTGAATTGTTTTTTTATTTTCAACAATCCCTGTTGTTTTTTTTTTATGCCAATTGTTCAAAAATAGAATTTGCGCCAATTATTGTTCCGGGTTTGGAATATATTTTTTTTTTTGTGGACTTATAAATCATGGGTTTAATTGCCAAGCGAAGGCTTCATTTTTTTTTTAGAAATATCTGCACTGGGCATATTTTTTTTTTTTTTAAATTTGTAATTCGTACGTTGGTGTAAGTGTGCGAAAATGTGACCAGCGACAATGATGGGATTTGTAAGGAACAGTAAGTCGCGATGGAAAGTGCCTGGGAAATATGGAAAGTCCATTGTTATATAAGTCAAAGGTACAGCGAGAAATTGTATAACTCACATCATAATTAGAAAAAGATATATATGTACAGAGGTGATAAAAACACAACGACAACGAACGAGACAATACATCCAACGAGCGAGCCACTATGGTCACAGCTGTATAGAGCGGACAATGAACGGATGATACTTTTCGCTGGAGTAGCGAGAAAATTAGGAAGGATAAAGAGATAGAGAAAGAGAGAGAGAGAGTTTGAGAGAGAGAGAGAGAATTCATGGATTTTTTTCAAGGACTATTTTTTTAACTACTGTTAATTATGTACTGGATTTTTTTTGAATATTCCGAAAAAAGGTTTTAGAATTTAAAAATCATTTCTAAATGAATTTTTTCCATTTTACAAAGATTTAAAGAATTTTTACATTGAAAGAATTTTACTACAGTAAAATAATTTTTACACATTTTGAAAAATTGTAGTTACGTGAATTCTTCTTTACTAATAATAATTAATTATTCTTTCTGATATTTCTTCACCTTTTTTTTTATTTATAATTTACTTCTGTATATTTTTTTTAAATTTACTTTTACTTAGTTTTTCAATATTTACTTTTTTTTCTACTTTTAAAAAGAATCCCTTACTACAATTGATGATTTTTTTTCTTCTCTTTTTTTTTTGCTTACTGATAATATTAAACAGATATATATATATATATATATATATATATATATATATATATATATATATATATTTAAGATTGAAATAAAAGCTCGTTCGGATTGAAAGCAGAAGGATAAGAGGGGAAAAAAAGGAGACTTTAAACAAAAATCATGAAAGAAGGTAAAAGGTCTATAACACTAGCGAGCAGCAAAATGAACTTTGCAGCGAACTGTGCTGGCTGAATCAGCGGTGATGGCGTGATAGGAAGAGTTTATCCATTTTAACCTTTTCTCTCTCTCTTTTTTTTTTTTTTATTTTTTTTTATTTTTTTTAATACTGTTACTTTTGTGTAGAAGAAGAATAAAGGTTCTGAAAGGAAGCTAGCTATCTCCTGGAAGTCGAAGTTACCTTCAGCAGCCGCCACCGGTGCCTCCTACTTCCAGAAGATGGCACTGGCGCTCCCGTCGTCCATCATGCACTCTGGAATACAGAACAGAAACAGAGATGGCAATGGGCCAAAGTACGATGGTCAATCAGTGATCAGGTTTTTTTTTTTTCTTGGATGGAATTTTTATAATTAAAAACAAAAAAAAAAAAATTTTTTTTATCCTATATATTACCCTATTTTCGCAGTGCAGGATATTTCTCTTTTTATTTTCAGAGTCTGCAAAAATTTTTCATTTTTATTATTGAAGATATATATTCAAAATTTTTTTTTTTATTTTCTATTTTTAGATATTTTTTTTATACCGATAGAATAGTTTTTAAAAAAAGGAATTTTAGTACCCGTTCTAGTAATTACCCTACCAGGGCCCTAGTAGGGAATGAAACAGCACACCTGATCAGGGCCAAATGTGGATTTCCTAATTAGGGCCACATCAGGCGCGGCGTTTCATTCCCTAATAGGGCAGTCTGATTTCGGCCTCGATCTGGGCCCCCGGCAAAATTTCTGCATAAATAATTTTTGCCAAAACTTTTTTTTTTTTTTTTGACAGAAAATTCCGATAAGATCCTGACGGCTATTATTTTCGTTATAATAAAATGGATCATATTTCAAAGGTATATGGAATCTCTTCGCAGGTTTGCGTGTGTATATATATATATATATATATATAGACAGAAATTTATTATTTTCCTGCTTACGCTCAACGATACGAAAGGAGGCATAAAATAAAGGTGTCTGAGGGTACGTGACGATGTCGGCACCTCATTCCGCGAGGTATAACGCTACCCCCTCTCTGGGCTCTAGGGCACATTTAAGGATTTGTCTCGGGAAATTAGATTCTCGCCTGACTTGCAGCATCGTCTCTCTCTCTCTTCTCTCTATTTCTCTCTTCCAATATATATATATATATATGTAGTTGTCGCACCTCCTTGCAGACACATAGAGTAGAAGCTCTCTTAGCCCCGGGTACTTTTCATTGAACGCCTTCTTGCTCCTCCATTGTACCGTCGAGACTCTGCCACGAGCAAGGAATTGGACCTTTGTTGCTTTGGCAAAAGTATTAACGTGTCCTTTAGGCCCTATAGCCCAGAAAAAAAAAATCCACCCTCGGGAAATTAATGTTCGACAAGTTAAGAAGAAGAGAGGGGTAGGGGTGAAGAAAGATGAAATCGTTTTCTAATTTTCATTTTAATTTAATCGCGTCAAAAAAAAAAAAAAATAAAAACAGGTTCGCGAAGATAAAGAAGAATAATCACGACGCGGGAAATATTGCTAAAGCGTCATAAAATTTTAATTGAATTAACGCACGTCGAATGGTGGGATTTTTTTTTTTTTTTTTTTAATTACGAGCAATCTCCTGCAGCGCGTAATTAATTTCGTTCTGGTTTTCATTTGCGGACTTCTTTTTTATGCTCATTGACAGATAAACTTTTTTTTTTATTACTGTCTTATTCATTCATTTTTTTTTTAATGTAGTTTTATGTTTTTTGTATTAAATCGGAATTTTACTACATATATTCTTATAGATTGTATTATCATTTTATATATTATATATTCTTTCATTAATTGAAATTTTTTTTTTTTATTGAGATAAATCAAAGATCTCATGGTGTGCATTCACTTTTTGCATAATTTTTTTTATTTTCCAGAATACTTTTTTTTTATAGCAATAATTAGGAAAATTAAACTAATTTATAAAATATTTAATAAAATTTTTCATATAATGTATAGAGAGAGAATTTTGTGACGAGAGTTTAATTTTTAAAAAGTTTCCCAAAGAAGAAAACGAAAAAGAAGAAGCTAAGAATGAAAGCACATTAGGCGTTGAAAAATCTATTTGTGACCCAGAAGGACAAAAGGACAATGCGAGTGATGACACTCTGACATTTTTTTTTATGACAGATTCGGTCGACTTTTGTGTTTGGCAAAGGCGTTTTGGGAAAATGCGAATGCAAGCAGAAGATAGGGGATACCAAGGGATCCTTTCTTGATCCTCTGTCAAGTCTTAAGTGTCCTTTCAATCATCGTTGAGACGGAAAGAAATATCCTTTTGCCAAGATCCATTTTGGAAAGAGACGAGAAATGATATTAACAGAAATAAGTTTTTTTTTTTTTTATTTCGAAGAAACTTTCTGAAATGTTTAACAAAGTAAAATAAATATTTTAAGCGCATTTTGAAAAAAAAACTTTATTTCACAAAAAATTTATTCAACCAAGTTTTTGTAAAGAAACATTTACTGTGGGAGAAAAAAATTTATTCAAAAGTCCATTCAGAATTTGGTAAAATAATAATTATTTAATAAATAGAAAATTAAGTGAAGTGTGATTTTGAGCTTTTATACTTCTAATAGGACATTAATTTGTGGAACAAAATCAACGTTAAAGTGTAATCTTGATAGAAGGTGAAGGGGGAGAGGGTTCTGATGTAATTAAGCTGTGTGAGACAGGATGCCAAGATGGCCTATAAAGGGCAGTCATTAACGGTAGAAAAGTCGAGAAATCGCTTCAACAATGAAACCTCTCGTGTGACAAGGTGTTAGGAATGGGGGTTACAAAAAAAACCCTAGGTTCTGCAAATGAAAGCTGAAGTTCTTTTAGCGATCCTGTCATTTCAGGATATAGCCAGCAAAGAGATGAAGAATTGCTTTTGTCTAGGATTCATGGAGCTTTTAAAAAAAGGGGGAAAAAAAAACTTTCCAATTTTTCTCTACTTTGTCATCAGCCAATTTGAATGGATTTTTTTTCAAGAAAAAAAAAAAAAGGGACAAAATAGAAGTGAAAATAGTTATTTGCGATGAATTATCAGGAATAGCCACATCTGATCAGGGCGTTTCATTACCTATTAGGGCAGCCTGAATTTGGGCCCTGGCAAAATTTCCACATTGTGGCGCCACCTACTTGACACTTTTTTGTTGCACTTCATAATGAGTACTTATTTTTTCTTCTATGCTTTAAGAAATGAAGATCCAAATAAAACGAAGTGATTAAAATAATTGCCACTTTGAAAATTTATGGGATGATAAATTTGATGGATAATATATAGAAAATGGGAATAGGTAAATCTAAAAAGGGGAATCGGGATAAGAATGAAGATTGGAAAAAAGGTTTGAGATTAAAAAACATGCTAGGGTAGGCAATAAGGAAATAGATGGAGAGAGTGGGTATTTTTTTCGGAAGACTAGTGAATTTCATCGATTAGATTTGAATATCTTGATTAGACGAAAAGAGCTTTTGAAAAATGTGTTAAGATCAAGGGATCAGAAATGAATTTCGTGATCGTTTTGCATAGATGTGAACCCCCAAAATGGGGAATATGTGTGTGGTTTGGGTGACAGTGTCGCCAAAGTTCAGTAACCTCTGATTGAACTCTCTCTCTCTCTCTCTTCTCCTACGTAGATACAGCATCTACATAGTTATACAGCTTCCGCAGCTCTGGATCACTCAGGCTGCATCCGCGGCAAGGCAAGGCTTTGTGGGCCGTGCCGAAGCGAGCGACCGGAGATTACAATGGCATCTCCTCCAGATTAGCATATGAATTACGTGGCCCCTCTTCTCCTGACTCTAGTCTCTAACCCCATCGTCGTCGTCATCATCCCGCTTCATCTACGTCCAAGCAAACTGTTAAGGACCCACAGGAGGAGAAAAAGGATCTAAATTCTATCTACGCGATGAATGATGTCTCTTTGCTTGGAGGATTAGGAACTTGATCTTTTGCCTTTCATTCGAATCCATCTTTTTTTTGCAAAGAGACTTTCGCTTTTCCAAATTCCTTTTTCTATTTTCCTTTATCCATCAAAAGAAATTGTGTTTTATATATTCTTTTCGTCGAGAGTATAATGTTCCAGAAGAATAATCATGTCAGTTTTTTCTTTTCTGCAGGCGTGAATGCACATCATGTTTTCTTTTCAATGGATTCTAGCATCTAACGATCTGCATTTGTGAGGAAATACGTCCAGTGCTTACGTCATATAAAGCGTATGAAAAGTTAAAAAAAAAAAAAAAAAAACAGAATGATAGATATTTGATAAATAACAATTGGATAAAGATTCTGTGAGAAATTCCTAAATAAATATATATCTATACAAATAGAATAGTTAACGCCATTGTATTTTTTTTTTCATTTGAACAAATTGCATATATGTGAAACATAGAAAAAAGAGGATGACAGTGATTTCTGTTTAAACTAATTTATATAAATATTATGCACACTCTGAGAAACACATCCCGCATACGTACACTCGTTCGTCTGTACTTTACATAGCCCGAATTTGTCTTTTTATTCTCATTAGGGAAAGTAGGAGCCGTATCAGGATCATTCATCGGACCTAAACAAGAAAATGTTTAGGTTAAATCCCTTGGGAAACTCTGAGCGGACATTTATCGAGAAATGTTGCAGTTTTTTTTTTTTTTTTATTTGCTAAAATTATAGTGATGATAATTGCAAAAATTTTAAATTTCGAAAATAATTCACTATTTAAAAAAAAGTTATTTGACTAAAATTATTAATTGAAAATTTTTAGAAACAATTAAATAAGAAATTATGATAATAGACTCGATAGTTAACATTTTTTTATAAACATTGATGACATTGAAAAATGTAAAAAAAAATATTTGCAAAATTATTGTTTTAAACAAAAAATTACTATATATATAATAAATGTACAATGAGCGCGCATTATTTCTAGCACTGGATTCAGATGAAACACGATCGTTCATTATGAGTTTGTTTTTAATTCAATTATTGGCTACGTTTTTAAACGGGGGGGGGGACACGAAAAAATCTCAAGGGATGTACGAATGAGAAAATCTTGAAATGAAAATTTTTGCTTAGTGAAAAAAAAAAAATTTCTCCAGGGAACTTTTTTCTTATTCTCGATAAAAAGTATATATATATATATGAACGATCGTGCCTCTCTAGATTTCAATTTATTTTTTTTTATTCCCAACCGGTCTAAAATAATTATATAGGGTCGAGTTTATAATTATTTGTAAATACTAATGTTATCGTCAACTTTCATCATGTTGACTCACCTCCGCGGTTTTCACTGTCCGCTGGCTTCACTTGAATAGGACGGTTCATCTGAAACAAACAAACGAAAAAAATTAATCATTTTAAAAACTTGAATTAATATTATTCGAAATTTATTATTTATTTTATCAAGAGAATTTGACGATACATTTTCGTTTATTGAAGGGTATTTTCAAAGAAGAAAACACGAAGTGCTGGATTTCGAATGTACGAAGGGTTTTGGAAGTATATAGTAGAACGCTATTTGTTTGGTTGGTAGTGTCCGGTAGATATACGTTCACCCCTCGTCACTTCGGCCTTGCTCAAATACTATTCGCACCAAAGAGAGAGAGAGAGAGAGAGAGAGAGAGAGAGAGAGGACTCTGGTGCTGACAGGGTCGGGTGGCTGACAGGGAACGTGGGGAAAACGGGACAGGAATCCTTGCTTTAGACCAGGAAAGCCATCCACCCTCTCGTCTCGATCTACGGAATATCCCATCGTGTGAGTTCTCCCCGACTGGTTTCCATGATGGGATGGGTCGAGAACAAATAACATTGTTTATTTGTCCGAGGACGAGTTGCTCGTGCCACAACAGAATCCCTCGGTGGATTCAACATGCATGATTCATGACGCTACCTACAGATGTCGCTTTCCTACCACCCCCCCTCCTCTTTCCTTGCCATTCTGAACTAACGTTCCACTTTCTAGTTTCCTCTCACATCATTGCTTCATTTATAACTTCTTTTTCTATTTAATAATTTATTTTAATTTCAAAATAATAATTATAAATAAACATTAAAGTTGTCAATGAATCAGAGTTGATTTAATATTGTGAGTACAAAAAATGGTGTATGCAGTCAACAAGAAAGAGAATTTACAGTAAACGTACAAGCGGATTTTAGACTTCAGTCATAAATGTTTTAATCGCTGTTTCAGAGTTCACTTTATGCAAATGTCATTTCGAGGGATAAAGGGATTACTGCCCATTTCCCCTCCGTGCATACTCTTTATTGTTTCGTTTGGTAAATGCCAGTGCCGCACTTACAGAAATTGTACAAATTCAATTAACAAAAACAAAACTAAATAGAGAGAGAGAGAGAGAGAAAAAGGTTGAAAAAATATTTTAAATTGTTTTATATTGTTTTGAAAAAACTTCCATCAGAAAAATAGTAATAAATATTATTGAATGAAAAATGTTTTCTTGAGAAAAGTTTCAAGATCTATATAATATTCCTCCCCTTGAGGCTTACTTTTTAGTCAATTAAATTATCATTATAGGTGTTATCATTTATAAATGTGGCGCGCACCTGCCGTCGATTGTTTTATATTGAAATTAGAGAGAGAGAGAGAGAGAGAAAAGTCTCATGACGAACACGCAATCGTTGTGACTTTCTGGATGAAATGACAGGGGACAATGTTTCCCAGCAATCAGATGTTTAATATTCCATGGCGGTTATTATACCCGCTGTTCTATATATATATATATATATATATTCACTGTGAATGTGCAAGACACAAATGGCGAAGGAGAGAGATAGAGAAAGAGAAGGACGATGGAAGACTTTGCAAGGATACATAGTATGGATGGAAGTGAGGTCACTTTCAGCATTGTCCGCAGGCCAGGAAATTAAACTTTGAGCCAGGTATTAGCCATTAGGCGTTTGTTGTTACTCCTGTCGTCAGGGAGACCTCGGGTCCGTTAGATACCGGAACTCAGATACGCCACCCCTTTTGCTCTCTCTCACTCACTCTCTCTCCTGGGAAGTTTAACGTCGGGTGTAGAATGCATCGTGTATATGTCTCCAAACACCCAAGGGGACATGTTCCAGCCAATAGCGATTACACTGATCATCGAACACGAAGCTTGACAGAATATTCGAGCTTTCATGGGCTTTGCCCTAATCGATCCTTCGCACACTATTTTTGTCAATTTTATAATTTAATTTTTAACATAATTTATCTTTGCCTTTTCCTATATACATTATCTTAATTTTGTAAAGATTTTTAGAAAATTCGCGGGTAAATAATTGTATTAAATATTTGCCCCACGTCGATAAAAATATATACTCCATGTCGATAAAATGTTACCGACCGCAAAGTATGTCGTAGTACCCGATCGCGCCGCGAGAGTTGTACCGCTGAGCTCTCTCGCAAGCGTTTCGGCCACCGATCGGCTATATAAGCTGCACTCCCGCAAGAAATCGAGGCTCTTGTGGTTCACAGAGTCGGTGAGGGCATTTCCTCAAGTATTAAGGAGCATTACTCCGAAGTAATTTGAAGAGAGCATTTCTCTCGTCTCCACGAGGTTTTACCTGGTGGAGACATCGAAGTAGTTTTACTGCGATCTCGTGATCTCGCGTTCCCGTTTTGTACGTAACCCCTGGCTTAGTTGTTCGTCTTTCGCTTCCGTTCCTCCGACGTAGGGAACGTAACGTAACGTAACGTGGAGTAATGAAATCCGTATTTCGACCATTTCGTATTTAAATTTTAATCGCGTAGTATATTTATTGAGTATGTAATTTGTAGGTTATGTCATCGTTCTTTTTTTTGTTAATAAACGTTATTTTTTGAATTGTGTCTGTAATTTTAATGTAATACCGTCGCTTGAAAATGAACCCTGATCCGGCGAGCTAATCCAACACTTTATTTTATCATTACATTCGTTACAATTTAATAACAAATGAAAATACATTTTTTAATCGTATTTCCCGTGTAGAAATTATCCTAACAGGGCCCTAGTTAGGAATGAAACGCCACATCAGATCAGGGCCACATCAGGCGCGGCGTTTCATTTCCTAATAGGGCAGTCTGATTCGGCCCCGATCTGGGCCACAGGCAAAATTTCTGCACGGGGCATAGAATGGTTTTATAATTCTTTTCTATAATTGTTTTTTTTCAAATGTGTAAAAATATAAATTAGTTTTATAAAAGAATGAAAGAAAGGGATAGTAAATGTTAAGATAAGAAGGGCGGTGGGGGGGGGGGAGAATAATGGAAAAGATAGCGCTACAAAAGAAATAACGAAAATTACACACATATAAAATAATATGATACACGAATTTGCATCTTATCATTCACGCAATTGCGTGTGTGATTGCTTGTTTCTTAGCGACCCCAAGAGTTGTATTAACATGTCCAGATATAAAAAAAAGGTTTTAAATTAACAAATTCAAGACTCCATTATGTTTTTTGAAGGCATTAGAAAAAAATGTTTTCTTTTTATTTTTAGATAATTGGATTTTCAGGTTGTCTATATACGCGCGCAAGGAGAGAAAATCGAGTTATTTCTTTTTATATATAAACTTCATTTCTTCACATGTTGGTATTACGTTTTCGTGTCACGAACAGAGCCTCCTGAGGAGTGATGCTTTCGAACGGAATGTACATTGCCGCGCCTACATATAGTTCTTGCGTTTAACACGATCGAACGTCGACCTCGTCGTGTCTCTCGTGTCATCACCACCACCCCCCCCCAGCACTTTGAAAATCGATTCCCCCTCGGCCCCCTCCAACACAGCGGAGACACCACTCAAGATGGATGGTAATAAGTAAATGTGTTTGCTGAGCCTTGCGCACTTGTCGTGCAATTAATTAAGCTCGATTATCTATGTACATTGTATAAACAATGAGCGCGGCTTTTATCCGCAATAGGAAAATTATGAGTATTCTCAAAAATATTCTTGCAATTTTTTTTTTTTTTTTTTTTCTTTTTTTTTGTCGAGCGGGAAAAGAAAATTTGAAAGTATATTTCTGGTGAAATCCAGATGGTCGTAGACTGATAAACTGTTGAATTGAATGGCGAATAACGCTTCGGAAATTGAGTAAGCTATCATGCTCGGACCGAGCAACGAGTCGATCCCGATATTTGACCTGCCAGGCTGCAATCAATGTACTGATTAAAGATAAGGTCCACCCTGTATAAAGCCCTGGCGTGTCTTCCTATGATTTATAAACGCCCTTCACAGGCGATATATTAATTATACCTAATCACTTGTAGACGAAACCAATTTCTTTTTCTTATAAATATTTTTTGAAAATATATAATAATTGAAAATTAAATTCCATTTCAGAAATTATTCGCAAATTTACAAGGTGAATTATATTTGAGGAATTCTGTCGTCTCTTGCTTTGTGTATATAATATATATATATATTAAATAATTTACGTGGTTTTCATATCATTTGCGCAAACGTTTATACTCAAAGGGAAGATGAGTCGTTTAAGTGTTGTCCTTAATAATGTTTTAAGACTTAAGTGAAAGCAACTATGTTGTCAAATATTTCATGATATATATATATAGATTAATTGAAACAATGCATAACTATGTGATTGATGGTATTAATTTCTCGAATATACCCAAAGCAAACACAAATCGCGCGCAGCTTTCATCCAAAACCACATAGTCAACGTTGAGCTTCCTAGGAGATTAGATCCAAATAGATTGCAAGCAAGCTAATTGGTGAATTAATGGAAACTGAAAATTAATTCCCTAAATTGACAATGCCTTTACTGTTCAACTGATAAAACTCAGTCTGATTAGATCAGTCATTCAGACCTCAAATAACAATAATTAAATATCGCTAACAAATGAGAGAAATTTTTTAAAATTATATATACTTTAAGAAATATCCAAATTTTTTATCGTAATTTTATTTTCAAAAATTATTTAAATAAAAGACATTTGTAGCTCGTTAACGACGTTTCTATATATATACAAAAACTGCAACGCACGGTTGGTTCTTAAAAGGTCAAATTCTCCTATATACGGATTTACAAATAAAAAAATCTCATGGACGTCCGCTGCAGCTTTGGAATTTAAAAAAATAAAAAAAATTGCGCGGGAGTTATCCAGAATGGGGGATTGTTTCTCCTTTTGATACGACGAAAGCACAATGTGCTCGTAGCCGGCGTTAAATCGCATTGAAACTTTAGTTACGAGCAGCATTCATATCAATGAATGCTACACCTGTATTCCACGTGCCGGTGTCCCTATTTCCTGTCCTCGCTTTTACCTGCGTTCGCCTTTACAATTCCAGATGGTATATATATATATATATATATATATATATAT